TTGGAGCAGGATGGAGCCATGGATGGAGCCTGGCAGGGCTCTGGGGCTGGAATGCTGTGTCACTGTCACTGCAGGGCTGTCAGTGAGGCCTCAGGTTTTGGCTTTTGTTTTTTCAGATTCTGTGCTGCTTTAGTGTGTGGGTCTGAGCTTCACATCAGGGCATGGTGAGCTCTGTGCACAGAGCAGGGAGACAAAACAATTCCTGCTCCAGCTGGGCACCAAGGACAAATGATCCAAATCTCAGCCCAAGAGCACAAACCCCGTGGGCTGCAGAGAGAAAAACAAGCAGGATGGGAGTGCAGGGGCTGAGCTGGAATTGGACACTGAACTGCAATGTGCACATGGAGCAGAGCTGATCCCAGGGAGAGACCCCGTGAGCGCTCGTGCATTTTGGGACCATTTGGGCTCATCCTGGGTGCAGCCCTGGCTGGGCTCTTGTGCTGCCCAAGGTGGATCCATGGAGGAGATCCTTTGAATAAATCCCTGCTTTATTCTGGAACTCTGTCCAGCCTCTGCTCTAGCTCAGCCTGCACAAGGCATCTTCAGGTCTCTGGGTGTGCTCCTGTGGGAAAACCAAAACCAGCATTCCCTGTGCCAGGAGTGCCAGGGAGGTCAGGCAGTGTCCCACACTGAGTGTGGTTGTGTTTGGACACTTTACAGGCTTTCAGGTTTGGGTTTTTGGGCAGCATCCCTGTGCCAGCTCTCCTCTTTCTCCGACTTCAGACAAGAACACAAAATCTGGGTCAGACCGATCATAACTTGAAGTTCCAAGCCTGTGCGTGCCCGGAGGCAGGAACACAACAGAGCAAGCAGGGAAGCTGCAAAATGGAAGCCCAAAGTTGAGGAAAGAAATTCTGCTCTTTCCTGGATGGGAAGCTGGAGGCTGTGGCTCGTGCAGGCTTTGGTTTGCCTCCTTTTCCAGAGGGTGGTGAGTGGGGTGGTGGATCTGGGAAGGTGTTCCAGGGGGTCACTTGAAGTAAATAATGGGTGAGGAAGTTACTGAAGAGAAGTTCTTGACACCCTGAGAAGTTTTTGATGCTCCAGCATCCCTGGAAGTGTCCCAGGCCAGGCTGGACAGGGCTGGCAGCACCCTGGGACAGTGAAAGGTGTCCCTGCCCATGGCTGGAGTGGCACTGGATGGGGTTTCATGTCCTTCCCAACCCAAACCAGTCTGGGACACTTCCAGGGATGGGGCAGCTGGGATTAAAATCCAGTGAAGAGCTGGAGCTCTTTGGAACAAGACACCAGGATGGACAGTAAGGGGTTAAAATAACCCTGCTGAATCATTCAGATTAGCTGAGGAGAGATGGATTTTATTCATCCCAACAAACAGGTTACTCACTGAGTAAGTACACAGAGATTCTGAGCTGGAGAAGAGCAGATGGAGCAAACCCTGGGTGTAACAGATCAGCTGTGCCTGGAACAGGAGAGATCTAAACAACCCTCCTGTGTAAAAATAACGTGTGAGTTGAAGGAACAGGAGGGATTTGCTTTGGGTGATTTGAAGGTTTCCTGGAATGTGTGGCTGCAGGAAAGCCCTTCTCCTTGCCCGTGCTGTCACTGTGGCAGGGCTGTTCTGCTCCTTCCACACCTTTCCTTGGAGCAAACTGCTCCCTTTGCTCTTGTCAGGCAGGGCTGGGCTGTCCTTGGAGGCTGTGCTGGCTACAAACCTGGAGTCACGTTGGTGTCACCCACGGCTGCTCCACTCCCTCTGCTGATTTAACAGCCACGAGGACCTGGGCAGCTGAGGAATGTTTCACAATCCCTGAGGCTGGAAAAGCCCTCCCAGCCCACAGAGTCCCAGCTGTGCCCAGTCCCCACCTTGTCCCCAGCTCAGAGCTCTTAGTGCCACCTCCAGGTGTTCCTGGACACCTCCAGGGATGGGCAGGTGAGTGCCACCTCCAGGTGTTCCTGGACACCTCCAGGGATGGGCAGGTGAGTGCCACCTCCAGGTGTTCCTGGACCCCTCCAGGGATGGGCACTCCAAACCTCCCTGAGGTTCAGTGAGTTCCCTGAATAAAGAGCCTGACCACCTTTCCAGGAAGGAATTTCAGTGCATTCTTAAACCTCTGCCTTCAGAAATCTCTGTCACTCCTCAGTTGTTCTCTTTCATCCCAAGGTTGATGCCAGAATTCATCTTCCCTGTGCTCTGTTGATGTCTCATTTCAGAGCTGTGGAGACAGGGGATGGAGGTGCATTCTCTGAGGATTCTTTAGTGCTTCCCAGGCAGCTCTGTTCTGTATGGATGGAAATGGGGTGGGAAGCATCTGTCTCTCTCAGCTGCTCAACACATGAATATGCTCCAGGATTTGATCTCTACCCTTGGGCACAATCCCTGCAATATCCTCATTTTCCTCTTGCCTTAATTAGCAGACAGGCCCCGGGAATCTGGGAATTTGGCTGCTGTAACACCAGAGAGGGAAAAGGAGCAATTCCCAGGGGTTTGTGGCTGTCCTTGGAGGCCACCTGGGCTGAGGAGGGATCCCTTCAGTCTGTGCCAGGTGCTCCTGTGTGTCTGGAGCACCAGTGCTGTATTTTAAATGGCTTTTCTTAGCTACACTGGTTTATTTTTATGCCTCGTTTCTACACTCCCTATTTAGCTAAATATGGACAAGGAAATGTGCTGCTGATAAGGCTGCATAGCCTCATTATTGTTTTTCCCTATAAAGTAGATCACTCCAGTGTCCTAGTTCCTGTGCAGACCTGAGCTAGCAGCACTGCCAGTGCCACAAGCCCCCCTAATGCCACAAATTTTATGGCAGCTCTTCCACATCCAGGGAACAGGCACAGGACAGGGGGAAACAGCTTCCAGCTGGGCCAGAGGAGGTTCAGGCTGGATATTGGGAAAATTCCTTCCCCAAAAAGGCTGCCCAGCCCTGGCACAGCTGCCCAGGGCAGTGCTGGAGTCCCCATTGGTGAAGAGATTTAAAATCCCTGTGCATGTGGCACTTGGGGACATGGGTTGGTGGTGGCCTTGGCAGTGCTGGGGGAATGGCTGGGCCGGATGGGCTCAGGGGACTTTTCCAGCCTCAGTCTCATGATGCAGCTTGTTGGGAAATGTAAATATTGTTTTTCCTTCTGATGCTAAATGACATTTTCAGAAGATGATTAAATGTTCATCGCTGCACATGGAGGCTCAGTGACCTAAAGCCATCAGTTCACCTGTGAGCTGAAAACAAAGGAGGATGTGCCTGAAAAATTGACTTTGTCTGTGCCCCATTTGTTCCTTGAAGGAACCTGGTCAGTGCAGGGATTAAACTTCTGGAAGTGCCTTCCCTGCCTGGTGCTTCCTACAGGGTGATGCAGCCAGTTGTGTGCACATCTGGATGATGGTTTGTCTTAAAATAGTCAGGAACTCTGAAAGAAACCTTTTTGATATGCCCCTTTCATTTAAATATAATTTTTTTTAACTGACCATAATTCATTCAACTGTGACCCTGCACGGGGGGGTGAAGAGCTCCAAACTTTTCACCTCTGGATTTCCAAGCTGTGATTCAGGGCTTTATCTAAACCACCAAGAACTGCAGTTGCTGCCTGGAGTGTGGTCTGCCTGCAAGCCTGACCTTTCATTGTTCAAAGAATGGGAAAGAAGAGCTTGAACTGAATTATTTTCCATAATAGACTTGCCAGGAAGGACAGAAACACCACTGTCAGTGGGACCCCATTGTTCCCAAGGAATGTGAGGCTGGAGCCTGTAGGTATGTGCTGGCCCTGCAGTGCTGACACAGAATTTCCTGGAGTTCAAGGAGTAGGAGCCTTTGTTTTTTGGGAACAAGAGGATCTGTGTTCTGCCTCCCCATGGAAGGCAGCAGGCCTGGGCTGCTGCACAGTGGCCACTTGGGTCACCCCTCCTGACCCAGCACAACAAGTGTCCCTTGTGTTCCTGTGGCTGCTGCTCTGTGTCAGCAGCTCCTGGTTTTCCTAAGGAGAGGCTGGAGCTGGGCTGGGAGAGCTGGGAATGTTCACCTGGACGAGGGGAAATGCAGGGAGAGCTCAGAGCCCCTTCAGGATCTCCAGAGAGCTGGAGAGGGACAGGGGACAAAGCCCTTTCTGTACATTCCAGCAGCTTTTGTTGGCTCTTGTTCCCAAGGATGGCTTCAAAAGGCTGAAAAGTGAAAAAGTAAAGAATTGGTGATGGGTGTGTGTTGTGCCAACCCGAAGGCTGGAGGTGACTCAGTTCAGGTGTATTTTTTCAGCTTGGTGCCAGGAATAAATTGAACACAGAGATGCAAATCAGGGAGGGATAACTGGTGATTACTTCTCCTCTGTTTCCAGTTCATAGCTGTGGATATAATGCCTACGTGTGCACTTTGCTGTATTTTTTTTTTCATGTGAACATTATTAAAACGTCACTTTCCCTCCCAAATCCCAGGGCTGGAGGGGGTTTGCTGGGATTAGCAAGGTTTGCTGAGGACATGGATGTGCTGCAGGACCCTCTGGGAGGGATCAGGAGCAGCACTGAAGTACACATCAGAGATTATGTAAAATCCTAATCTCCATAGGGGAGGCTGGGTGGAGTCAAGCCCAGCACTAAATTCCCTTGCGTCATTTGTGTTTGTGCTGCTGAGGGGTGTCATTAACTCCAGATCTGGGGCAGGCCAATGTCACACCATGGCTGCCCTGCCCAGGTGCTGGGGGTTACTCTTTACCTTTGTTATTCAAGTTTCTGATGAAAGACCCCATGAAATGTCACATCCACGAGGCTAAACCCGCTTTAGATGATCCCAGTTTATTTCTGATCCGTTAGGGGGGTTTAGAACCATCTGGGAATCACTGAGCACTGCTGAAATGTTTGGTGTACAGGCACAGGGGGCATGGGGGTTTGTAAACATCTGGGAATCACTGAGCACTGCACAGATGTTTGGTGTACAGGCACAGGGGACATGGGGGGTTTGGAAACATCTGGGAATCACTGAGCACTGCTCAGACGTTTGGTGTGAAGGCACAGGGGACATGTCTGGTGTCTGATGGAGCTCTCTGTGTCCCTGGGCGGGTTGCAGGTGCTCAGGCATGGCTGACCTGGACCACACCCTGAGCCTGGCCGACGCTCTGACGGAGCCGCCGCCCGACGTGGAGCCAGAGGTGAAGAGGGACTTCATCGCCTCGCTGGAGGCCGAGAAGTTCGACGACGTGGTGGGGGAGACCGTGGACAAGACAGACTACGTGCCCCTGCTGGATGACGAGGACGAGGCCAGGCCTGGCAGCCAGGAGCCCAAAAGCAAAGGCCACGTGGACGGAATTGCCGTGGAACGTAAGTGTCCCGAGTGTCCCCAAAACCGGCACATTGCAAAAGCCAAGAGTGAGGTCAAGCCCTGTTTGTTGTGTGAAGCAGCCTCTCCCTGCTGGGCCACAGGAGAGGCTGTGCTTTACATTCATGGGGCTGGGGGCTTTTGGGGCTCTCAGAGGAAGCACTGAGCAAATTCTGTGGCTCCACAAAGAGTGTCCCAAAATAGCAGAGCTGTGCAAGGTGCCACCACTCTGGGGGATGGCAGATCTGAGCAGGAAAGGTGGATGATGAGCTGGAAGATGGGAATCTTTATCATCTCCCAGATGTTTAACAGCTCAGTCCCGTGGTTCTGTCCCAAGGCTTTATTTACTTGGATTTCTTTTGGCCCTGCTGGTTGTGTGCACGGTACCAAAACTGCTGCTGCCTCTGCTGCTGCTGCTGAACAGTTTCCAGCCCAGCTGATATTTAGAATTATGGAATCATTAAGGTTGGAAAAGATCTTGGAGATCATCAAACCCAGCGGCTCCCCCAGCACTGCCAAGGCCACCCCTGACCCGTGTCCCCAAGTGCCACATCCACATGGATGTCACATCCCTCCAGCAATGGGGACTCCACCACTGCCCTGGGCAGCTGGGCCAGGGCTGGACAGACTTTTCCAGGGAGGAATATTCCCAATATCCCACCTGAGCCTGCCCTGGCCCAGCCTGAGGCCATTCCCTCTCCTCCTGTCCCTGTTCCCTGGGATAAGATCCCAAATCCCCCCGGCTGTCCCCTCCTGTCAGGAGCTGGGCAGAGCCACAAGGTCCCCCCTGATCCCCCTTTTCTCCAGGCTGAGCCCCTTCCCAGCTCCCTCAGGAGTTCCAGGCCCTTCCCAGCTCTGTTCCCTTCCCTGGACACCCTCCAGCCCCTCAGGGTCTGTCCTGGACCTGGGGACTCCAGAAGTGCCCCAGGAGTCTGAGGTGGAACATCACCAATTTATTCATGTTAAGAGCTTTATCAAAAATTCTGTAGGAAAAAGAGAGTTTTAAACAGATGCTTCTCTGTGTGAAAGGGAAAAAGGTGAGATTTGGGGGTCATGCAATGAGTTTCTTTCCCAGAGAGCAATTTAAATTATTGCTCCTTTGCTTGTGTGCTCTTCCCTCCCTGCCCAGCTGGGAATTGTCACTGGGACCAGCAGTGCCTTAATAATTTCATTTGTTTTGTGGCCTTGATCTGTGCTGTGTGGAAGAGGAAAACCTTTGGTAACCTGATGACTTCCTTCAGAAGAAGGTTTCTTTTTTCTTTTTTGCTTTAATGCTACTGCTCATCAGTGTTGAGGAAGGTGGGATGTGATTCCTCAGAATAAACAGAACCTCCAGGACCACAGCATGGGGAATTCTGCTCTGTTCAAGGCATTTATTTGCTTTGATTACCAGTGCATTGGGTGCCTTGTAATACAGAAAATGTAACCTTGAATTTTCCATGTTGACACAGTTATTAAATGGCACCAAAGGAGCAGGAGGGATGGCAGTGGGCAAAGGGATTATTATAAAACTTGGAACGTGTGTATTATTTATTTAATTTCTATTTTTGTGTGCAGAAGCAGAGAAACATGAGGACTTGTTAACACCTTGTGTATGATTTGAGGATATTTTAAAGCAATCCCTTGTTGTAGAAGTTGCAGGTCCTAAAGCATCTCAGCACCAGGATTTCTCAGTGCTAAAATCATGACACAATACTGGTGTGAGATACAAGGCCCTTCAGTGTGACCTGCCAGCTGTGTATCCCTGCACATTGCTGTTGATACCTGGAGTTTTAGCTTTCTGGTTTTTAGGGCATCCCTATCCCAACTCGTTATTCCACATGACTCCAGGACCTTGGGCTGGGGGTAACGAGGCCTTTTGGCTTTGCTCAGTAATTAAAACTCTGTGAGAGAAAGGCTGGGTCCTGTGGGCAGAGCTCAGGCACAAATACTGGGGGAAAGAAGAGAATTTCAGGATGAATTCCTTCATGGAAAGGGTTATTAAATATTGGCATGAGCTGCCCAGGGAGCTTTGGAGTGCCCATCCCTGGAGGTGTCCCAGGAAGGGCTGGAGGTGGCACTGAGAGCTCTGGGCTGGGGACAGGGTGGGCACTGGGCACAGCTGGGATCTGGGAGGGCTTTTCCAACCTCTGACTCAGGGATTCTGGGGTCTCCTGGCTTTTCCAGCCCCTCCTCTCCCCTCTCTGCACACCCATCATGGGTGACTGAGCAGACTCGTTTCCTCCTCCGTGGCAAGAGGGGGATGCAGTTTCTTACTCTTGCTTTGGAGATAGGTTTTTCCCTTTTTTGGGAGAGCTGGAGAGCAGTCAGGAGCATGATCTAAATCTTTGGCAAGAGGCAAAAGAGACCCTGGTGAGGAGATGGAGAAGTTGCCCTGAGTGGAGCTGTTCAGCTCTCCCACCTTGGACCAGCAGGGAAGGACTGAGCCTAAAACAGGGTCAGTTACCACGGACCAGGCTCAGGGTTTGGTCCTGGAAAGTCTTCATTTCTCTTACTTGTTTTCCCCTGAACTGCTGAGGATACCTGTTGGAGCCCTGGTTGCTGAGAATTCCAGATTTCTGTGCTGCCAGGCACTGACCCCCAGGAGAACACTGCACTGACCTGAGGCTGTGGAGAAGCTTCCAAAATGGAATGACAGAACTGGGATTGTGGCTGTGGAGTTGGAATAGAAGTGTGTGATATCAGCACTGCAGGGAAAAACAGATACCTCTTTCTTCCATGAAATTTATTGAAGATTTGTAACTGTTTAAAAAGATAGTAAAGTGAATGAGCTTCCTTTGTTGAGGCTCCAGAATAAATGAGCTCTGGGTGAGATTTACAGGGTCCTAAGGGGGTCTTGGTGTTGCAGTTCCATGTTTGAGTGTAACACCAAGTTTTTGGGCAATAGCAGAGAGAGTTCCATGTCCCTGGCTCCAGACAGCCTGGCTTCCCTGAGGGAGAGGAGCAGCCTGCAGAGCTCAGGCTCTCCAGCCTCCACTTGTTCATTTATTTATGTTAAAAGGCACAAATGTGTTCTGACATCACGGTCTGTGCTCCTGAGATTGTCTTTCCCCAGTCAGAAGAGGTTTAATCCTCCATCCTGTCAGGCTTTAGCTGCTCCAGCTCTGCTCCAGGGTTTTCTTTTACTTTTTTCCTAACCCAGGAGCCACATGAGGCGAGTTTAATGTTGAGCTGGGCCCCAGCCTGGGCTGGGTGAGTGCAGAGGGCTGGAGAAGAGCAGGGACCTGTGATGAGCAGTCATTTGGTCACCTATAAATCTATCCTGGAACAAAGCTTCAATAATGTTAACTCCTAAAATACCAGGGAGGAATGGGCTTACTCTTCTTCACACCCGGCTGGACGTGGTAATTTGGCAAATTCTGGGATAATCCCCTTATGACCCCTTACATAACAGCAAGGGGTGTGTGCTGCCTGCTTTCCTTAGCAATTCCAAGGCTCTCAGGATCCTCTGGAGCTTCCAGGAAAGTCCTGGAGGCTGCAGCAGCAGTTTCATTCAGGTGCTGATGTGATGGAGTGAAGGAAGGGATTTCAGGTGGGAGCAGTTCCAAGGGAAAGGAAAACACTGGGGTTTAATGATGTGCAGCAGAGCTCCTGGGGAATGTTTCAGTTGAGGTGAGGAGCAGGATTGTCTCTGCACTGATGGGGAATTGTGTTTCTGGTGGGGAATTGTGTTTCTGGTGGGGAACTGAGCACAGAGCAAAGGGCAGCCCTGTGCTGGGACGTGGCCTCGTGCTCAGTCCCTGTGTTCTGCATTCTTGCACTGCTCACAGACTCCTTGGTGAGTTTTAACCCTGAATACAGGAATTTTTGGAGGGGCTTGTCCTGATCTGGGCTGGGATGGAGTTGATTTTCTCCATTGGCTGTTGGGAGCTGGGTGTGAGAATGGTGTTGATAACACATGGGTGGGTTTTAACCCTGAATACAGGAATTTTTGGAGGGGCTTGTCCTGATCTGGGCTGGGATGGAGTTGATTTTCTCCATTGGCTGTTGGGAGCTGGGTGTGAGAATGGTGTTGATAACACACGGGTGGGATGGATGTTCCTGAGCCCTGCCTGCTCTGGATCAAGGAGTTTTTGATTTGCCAGGCTCAGCCAGGGAGCAGGTGCCAGGAGGGTGGGAGGCATGGCCAGGAGAGCTGATCCCACCTGGCCAGAGGGATATCCCACAGTACAGAGCATCCTGCCCAGTATGAACTGGGAGAGATGGCCAGGAGCTGCCAGTCACTGCTGGGGACAGGCTGGGCAGTGGTGAGGGCCTGGTGACCCTGGGCACCACTGGTTCCTCTTGGGTTTTATCCACAGAATCAGGGAATTGCTGCGGTTGGAAAAGCCCTCAGAGACCATGGAGTCCAGCCATCCCCAGTAGTGCCAAGGCCATCACTGACCTTGTCCCCAAGTGCCACATTCACAGGGATGTTAAATCCCTGCAGGGATGGGGACTGCACTATGTCCTGGGCAGCTGTGCCACATCTGGACAGCCCCTTCCAGGAGGAACATTCCCAATTTCCACCCTGAGCTGCCCTGGCCCAGCCTGAGGCCGTTCCCTCTCCTCCTGTCCTTGTTCCCTGGAGCACAGCCCGGCCCCCCCTGGCTGTCCCCTCCTGGCAGAGCCACAAGGTCCCCCTGATCCCCCTTTTCTCCAGGCTGAGCAATTCCCCTCTCTCTTTTGACTATTATAATTCCATTATTTTATTTCATGTGTTAAGCTGTCCTTGAGCCCCGGGGTTTATTGCCCTGCACTCCCCTCCCCAGGGGCTGGGGGGGCTCCGGGGGCCCCATTCCCATGGGATTGAACCCTGCAGGACTCAGACCCTGCCTGCCAGGAGGGACGGGCTTGCTTTGCTTGGATCAATCCCAGCGGTGGCTCTGGGACCGAGGTGTCACCACGAGGTGGCTCTGCTGGCACTGCTGCCCTCTGTCCCACAGCTGCAGAGCTGAAACCCCAGGCCAGACCTCGGTTCCTTTTGCTTTTCCCTCCCTTCCCACCTGGGGAATATGTGCCTTTCTTGCAGCAGGATTTGCTTTAGCCAAAGGCAGTTCAGACACTTGGTCACGTATGAGAGGGGGGATGGAGAATGTTCCACACAGCCCAGAGGGATCAAAGACAGAGCAGCAGATGATGATATTTGCATTTTTGTCTCAGATGAGACATTAAACCTTTTCCCTCTCAAAGTCTATCTGGACCCATTCCTGCCCCCCAGTTGTTACATCACAGAACCCCAGACTGGTTTGGGCTGGAAGGGACCTGAAATCCCATCCCACCCCACCCCTTCCATGGCAGGAACACTGCCACTGTCCCAGGCTGCTCCCAGCCCTGTCCAGCCTGGCCTTGGGCACTGCCAGGGATCCAGGGGCAGCCCCAGCTGCTCTGGGAATTCCATCCCAGCCAGGAATTCCCAATTCCCAATCTCCCATCCATCCCTGCCCTCTGGCAGTGGGAGCCATTCCCTGTGTCCTGTCCCTCCATCCTTGTCCCCAGTCCCTCTGCAGCTCTCCTGGAGCCCCTTCAGGCCCTGGCAGGGCTCTGAGCTCTCCCTGGAGCCTTCTCCTCTCCAGGGGAACATTCCCAGCTCTCCCAGCCTGGCTCCAGCCCTGCAGCAGCTCCAGGTCCCTGTGCTGCTGGCTCTGGGGCAGCTCTGCAGGTGCTTTTGAGGCAGAATATTTAAAGGAGTGAATGGAAGGAGATTGCACTCCTTGTTTCAGAGTCACCAGCAGGCTCACACTCCGTCCCTCAGTGTTTTCACTCACGTTTTCCTCTCTGACAGCCAGTGATAAAACCTGCAGTGCTGACCCCCAGAGCCCCCAGGTGTGCCTGGAGCAGGCTGCAGTGCTGCTGGGGACGTGCTGCCCGTGGTGCTGTCCCCTGTGCTCCCCTGGGATTAGGGGCTGCTGGTGGCACTGCCCATTTGCTCCAGATTATCGGTTTAGCCGGCGCTGCCTGAAATTTGTTTATATAAAAACAATCCTTTGATCCACGAGCCAGATGCAAATACTATCTTGTGATTCTGATGAGGATTAGGTAGTTACAACATCTTGACATGGTTTTGGGTTTATGCAATTTAGAATATGAGGGGAGGAGCCCTGGCCCTGGGCAGGTTGCTGGGTGCTTTCACACTGGGGCTTCAGCAAACCAAACTCAGATTGATTTGCTCCAAAGGCACTGACCTTCAGAGACTTAAAAATAACAACCACTCGTGCTGGCTGGGGTTGGTGTGATTTGACCTGATTTTTCTGAAAGCTTGTCTTCCCAAAAAGCTGAAACTGTAAAGGGAACCATTTTACCTGCTCTGTGTCCTTGCCAAGGAGAGCCATGACATTTCTGATCCTGTGGGAACCCGCCAAGGAGAGCCATGACATTTCTGATCCTTCTGATCCTGTGGGAACCCACTCTGGAGGGGTTCAGCCACATTTGTGGCCAGGTTGAGTCTGGGTTTAGTACATCAGTAATGGTGGTGGCATCAGAGAGGTTGGAAAAGCCCTCCCAGCCCAGTTTGGGAAATTCCAGCCTGTGCCCAGTGCCCACCTTGTGGGCACTGAGTGCCACCTCCAGCCCCTCCTGGGACACCTCCAGGGATGGGCACTCCAAACCTCCCTGGGAGTCCCTTCTAAGGCCTGAGCACCCTTTCCATGGAGAACTTCCTCCACACTATGGAACATCCCAGCAGCTCAATTGCCTGTGCAAGGTGTAAGGAGCAGTTCAGAGAGAAAGGGAAGCAGGATGTGATCGTGGGGGCAGTCCTGGGGCTGTCCTCTGCAGGGCCAGGAGCTGGACCTGGATGGTCCTTGTGGCTTCCTTCCCACTCAGGAGGTTCCATGATTCTACAGGGCTTAAGAAAATGTGTGGCTCCTGCAGCTGGGCTGAGCTCCCAGGGGGTTCAGCAGCTCCTGCATGGAATTCCATGGAATTCCTCAGGGGTCTCACTGCAGGACCGTGGTACTCCTCCTGTGCCTTTGGGCAGCTGTGACTCACTGTTGTTTAAACCACACTGACCCCGATTTCAGGGGATCCAGGACCTCTCCCAGTTTCTGCTTCAGGCCATTGCCCTGTTCCAGTGCCCAGCTGGGCTGTGGAGCTGCTGAGGAGCAGCTCCAGGGATCCCTGTGCTGCTCCCAGCTCCTCCAGGAGGATGGAGCTGTGTGTTTGTCCTTAAACTGGCAGTCCATGGGGAGTTTTTGCAGAACACCAGGATGAGCCAGGGATGGAGCTGGAAATACTTTTCCTTTTGCTTTGCTGAGGGCTGGCTTCAGCCCTGCTGTTATAAAACTGGGGCTCAGGAGGGGCCAGCAGCAGCTCCAGGTCACTGAGTGTGTGTCTCTTTGGGAGAAACCTTTATTATTTATAAAATGAACATTTCCTGACTGTCAGCAGAGCTGAGGGCCCAGGGACAGCTGGTGCTGCTTGTTCTGCTTCCCTAAAACTGCTCAGGGTCATAAAGTCACAAAACCCAGGGTGGTTTGGGGTGGAGGGAGCCTTAAGGATCATCCAGTGCCACCCTGCCATGGCAGGGACACCTCCCACTGTCCCAGGCTGCTCCAGCCTGGCCTTGGGCACTGCCAGGGATCCAGGGGCATCACAGCTGCTCTGGGCACCCTGTGCCAGGGCCTGCCCACCCTCATTGTATAAAACTTCTTCTTTTATATAATCTAAATGGAGCCTCCTGCAGCTGCCAACTGTTCCTCTTGTCCACTGCTGCCAAGTTTCCCAAGTTCAGTCTGTAAATCCTGGTGCTGGTTAAAATTTCAGCTGTCATTGTCAGAACAAGGTGGGCTCAGTCTCACAGTGATAAGGATTTTCTGTGCTGGTTTTTGGAATTGGTGATCTCCCACCCTGACCACCCTCCTCTAAACCTCCCCTGATCCCTTCTTTAGCAATATTTGGTGTTTCAGGAGGAATTTCTCCATGGAAATTTCTCCCCAGGCCTTGGAACTGCCGAGGGAGGTTTGGGGTGCCCATCCCTGGAGGTGTCCCAGGAATTCCTGGAGGTGGCACTCAGTGCTCTGGGCTGGGCACAAGGAGGGGATCAGGCACAAACTGGGTGTGATGATCGCAGAGGGCTTTTCCAACCTCAGTGATCCTGGGATTCTGTGAGTGCTCAGGGCTGGAATTGATAATTTCTTCTGCTGGTTTTAGGATCACCACCAGGTGACAAGGTGGGCATCCATCACAGCTTGGGCTCCGTCTTGGAGCTCTTTTCCAGCCTCAGTGATTGTGCAGTTGCACAGAGCTGTTTGCAGGGTCGGGGTTGGGATGAGTTCCACGCAGTGTTAACCCCTGTGCTGGTCCCTTGCAGATTCCTCAGCCTCGGGGACGATGGTGGTGGAGAACGGTGACCACGGGCTGCAGGACCACCACACAGGTACGTGCTGCAGCTCTGCCCTGGGCCACATCCTCTGCTCTGCACTCCTCACTCCTCCCAGGGGGCTGCTTTAAAGGGCTCTCAAAGAATGGGCAGCAAAACAGAGCTTCAGTTTCTTTGGGGTTTAAAAGGCTCCTTTGGGTAGAACCTTGATCTGAAGGTGTGCTGTTCTCTGTCCGTGGGCAAGGCAGCTGATAAAAATGGCTTTGGAGAGCCATAGTACCCACAGCTGAACTGTCCCCTGTCCTGTGACTTCCCCTGTGACCCACAGTGGTGCTTTCCCACATCCCCATCCTTTGGAGCAGTTTTTATTCTCTGCCATGACCCAGCTGTGTCCTCCAGCCCAAGCCTCCCCTCCATGGGCACGTCCCCACACCTGCTCCAGCAGTGGCACAGGTGACACTGAGCCTTTGGGACCTTTCTCCATGGCACCAGGGTAGTTGTGACTGCCAGGAGCTTGTGATGGAACGTTTCAGACTTGTGCAGAACCTGGAAAAGAAAGGGCCCTTCCAGTCAGGCTGAGGTGCTGGGCTGGTGGTGTTTTAGTCGCAGTCGATAGTGAGCTCTGCTTCCCTTCCCCTGAGCCTCTGTGCCTGGGAATTGGGGTTCCCACCAAACTCCATCTGTTCCCTTCTGTCACCAGGGCTCTGCCTGTGGGGGCCTCTGTTTTCTTGGGATGGAATATTCCAGAGTCAGCTGTCATCCTGGCCTGGGTGAGGATTTGCCTTGGTCTCCCTGGGGACGATCCCAGCTGCAGATCTTTGTGAGGCTGGCTGGGTGCTCCCAGAGTTATCCCTCCTCACCCAGAGGAGCAGCCCCGAGCTAAAAACCAGTTCAGGAAATAATGATGAGCATTTGGGAGATGGGGCTGAATTAAAGCACCTCTTTGCTATAATTATCTTCAGGATTTTAGAGTTTGGTTCAGTGTGAGTGAGTTTCATGTCCTTAGTGAGGATGGGAATAGAAGAATTGATCTTTGTGCTTCATTTGCCATTGGAAAGCTGGTCAAAAGGAAGTTGTGCATCTTCTATAATTCAGTATAAACTGAAATTAAGAATACTTCTGAACCTTCCTAAGGATATTCCCTCCCTCTTGTTTAATACTTCTAACTAAAGGAGATAGAAATGCAATCAGATTTATGGTCTGAATAATTAAAGGCATCAGGATTTTTGTATTGAACTTCTGGCTTCTGTTTAAAAAATTCTTTGTTATTTGCCTCACTCTTGCTTTGTGGAGGTTTAACTCTTCACACTAAATGTTAACAACTTTGATCAAAGATACTTTTATGTGTCTGGAGCTTTTTAATTTATTAATATGTTCCCTCTTTGTGGGGTAGAGTTGATTTTTTTTCTTCTCTCGTTCAAGTCTGTCTAAAAGCGACATCAAAGTGGCAGAGCAGGGTGTCAGGATGAGGAGCTGTGGCCATCAACTTAATTAGGTTTGCCAGAGTAACCCCAGATCTGCATGACACGATTCCTTCATGGCCTCTGTCCCTGCCCCCTTCCTTGTGCAGTGCCTGCCATGTCCTGGCTCTCCATGGCAGAGGAGGGAGGAATGCTGAATTTCCAGCAGGCACTGCAGGGTGCAGAGCTGGCCAATGGCTCCCACACTGCAGAGGTGCTGCTGCCCCAAGCCTGCATCCCTGAACCACCTCTGCTGCTGGGGCTTTGTTCTCAGCAGGATCCATTCCCTGTGTCTGGAAGCTGGAATGATTCTTAGGGATGTGGAATCCCAGGAGCAGCCAGGAGAGGACTGAGGCAGGTGATGCGCAGGCAGACCAGCTTTCTGCTACAAAAACCAGTGTTAAAAGCTGGTTAAAAGCTTTAAAAAGCAGAGCTGGGTTTAAGTTGGTTTTGAAGCACTCCAAGGAAAAGGGGTAGTTCAGCTGTTTGCACATCCAAATGTGGATCTCTCTGGGCTGGAGCTCAGGAAGCACTGCTGGATGGTTTCCTTCACTCATCACATCAAACAGGGTGATGATTGACCTTGTTTTATTACATGCAGCATCTCTGCAGCCCTGTGGGGTGTGTCTGCAGAGCTGGCATCAGCCAGGCCCCAGCTCCTGGCACTCCTTGGCACTCCCAGGCACCCTGAGTGCAGCAGCTGGCAGGGACCCAAACCTCTCCAGCTCAGGCCAGACCCTCCATCGAGCCTTGGATTCTTTTCTCTTGGCAGGGCTGTGCTTAGGCCAGGCTTTGGGCAGGGAGACCCTGGCAGCTCCTGCCAAGGGCTCGGTGCTGGGCAGGGCTGAGCACAACGTGGCCCTGTGGGGTTTGGTTTTGGGAACTGCAGAGGGGAGCTCTGGGTGCTGGGCACATCCCCTGGAATCCTGCTGCTGATCCTGCTCTTCCTTAAAAGGAGAAATGGAGAGGCTGGAGCAGCATTCCCAGGGATGCAGGGCTGGGAACAGGGAGCAGGGGATTCAGTGGTGCTCTGGAATCCCTGCTGGGGCAGGCAGCTCACTGCTCACCTCCACCAGGCCAAGGTCAGGGAGGGCTTAGTCAAACCAGCAGCACTGGAACCAAGAATTCACGTGTAATTTGCAATTTGCAACTCTTCATTGCAGGGTATTTGCCTAGAGTTCAAAGGAAATACGTATTTAAAAATAAAACCCAACCAAATTTCTGGAAAGAAATCCATCAAGGATGGTCAGATGGTTGATCTGGACGTGCCTCTTGCCCAAGATGCTGTCCATGCTCTTGCTGGCAGGTGAGAAGCTCCCTGGGGAAGTATTCCTGCTGGATGCTCATACTTCCCCTGGCTGGGCCTTCCCTGCAGGCAGCCTGCTGGCAGCTCTGTGGCTCCCAGAAATGCTCAGTGTTCAGTGCAGACTGTGCTCCCGAGGTGTGCTCCCCGTGCCTGTCACTGCTGGTGGGCTGGCCCTGCCCTGGTGGCTCTGTGTGGTGACAAGGACAGCCCTGCAGCCCCCTGGGAGCAGAGCTGTGTGTGTGTGACCTGGCTTGTGGCAGATCTCCTGGCTGCCCTGGCGGGTGTTGGTGTTGAGCAGTGCTGCTCCATGGTGATGTTTACTAATCACTTGCGCTTTCTTGCCCCCTTCCCCATCCCCTTTCCCTCTCCTACTTCTTTTCCTCTCTTCTATTTTCTCCTCCTAGAAGCCTAGACTGTCTCCTAACACTGGGGCTGCCACTGACACGAGACCAGTGTCCTTTTCTACCTGCCATTACACTTCTAAAATCTGCAGCATTTTACAGAGCTCTTGCTTTACCTCCTGGGACTTGGCTGTAGAAGAACCAAAGGGTGGCTCCATCCTGCTCCTCCTCCCTGTGCTCTGCAGTGCTTGTTGAAACCTTCCTCTCTCTGTGTAAGCACAAAAGTGCACCCTGGTTTGGAACTGCACTGTGCCTCTGCTTTGAAATCACGACCACAGCTCCATTTTTGCTTTGATCACCTTTAAATTTAATTTCTCTCCGTTTTCATGGTGCTCGATAAGAGAAGGTTTGGAATTTCCACTTGTGCTTCCATAGTGGATGGGTCCACCATGACTGCAGCTCCCTTCCCTTCTCCCCACACTCACCACAGCCTTTTAGATACCTGCCTTGCTCCTTGCTGCTTGGAAACCCTCTCCCGTGGGGTTCTGGTCTGTAACAGTGTTGTTCTCTTGGGTGGTTCACATCATTTCAGCACTTGGTAGACTTGAGAAACAGATCAGGGAAAACCAATTGTCCTGAGGTACAGGTGGATCAGCTCTGGTGTCTGAGGGGTGCATTTTGGGGTCCAAGCCTTGCCATAACTGGGGAGTATGAAGGAAAGCAGCCAGCCCCAAATTCCTGCCTTAGGGAGTGGCTTTGCTGTCACACTCCTTCCCAAAAACCCTGGAAGTAAGGAAGGAAATTGCCTTTTTTAACTTCACACCTCTGGTTTCCTGTGGGGAATGACAGCCTTGGATGGAGTTTTACCTGCCATGAGAAATAATCTGTCCCAGCTAACACTGGGGGAAACAGAAGCACTGAGGTGTGATATTGTGCTGAAATAATCCTGACAGTTTCCAGCAGCACCAGAAGGAGCAGGCCTGGTTTAACCTAAACCAGAGCTACAGGAGCCTGTCCAGTGGGATTCCCACTGCCCCACAGAGGTGCCAAGCTTTCCAAAGACAAAAGTGCTCATTTTTCCATCAATAGATGAAACAAATCATGAAAGGAGGAGATAATTAGAGAGAGAAAGCAGGGTTTAACCTGAGGCAGGCTCAGCCTGGCTTGGGAGGCGAGGGATGTGTTGGGTGAGGAGAATCCTGTGCTGCAGCTCAGGGTACTTGGCCTGCAACACCTGATGGAAGGGATTTAGTTGGACCCAAATGCAGGTTGAGGCTGAGCTGCCCAAAACAAGAGCTAACAGCTTCACCTGCCCACAAATGGCATTTCCTTGTGGCGAGGGCAGTGCCTGGCAGCTGCCCCGTGGCACCCACCTGCTGCAGGCAGAACTGAGGGGCTCTCCCAGCTGGAATGGGCAGTGCCAGGGCTGTGCCAGAGCCAGCAGAGCAGCTTTGGGCATCCCCCCCAGCCTTGCTTTGCTGTTTGTCCCCAGTGAGACCTGGCGTGCTCCCGGCGGGGTGGCAGTGCCAGCGCCGAGTCACGGCCTGGCCGCTGCTCTGGGGCAGGACCTGGCACTTCTCTCCCCATTTTGGTGCCAGTTTACCCCTCTGTGCCCCCTCCCTTAGGGGTTTCTCCTCCCTGGTGCACAGTTGTTGTTGTTTCTGGGCAAACCCCAGGTGCTGGAGGCTCCCAGTGCCCCAAACTGGGCTCTTCTTCCCACCCCATGAATTTCGCAGCATCATTCAAGTTGGGAAAGACCTGAGATCAGTTCCAACCTGTGACTCCTTCATCTGCTTTCCTTTGGCTTTTTGGTGTCTGTGGCCATAAAAGGAGATTCTTGCCTTCTTGGCTTTCTTTTCAAAGACCTTTTCATAGCTTTTTTTTTTTTTTAATGTGATTTTGAAGCAAGGCAGCATCAGTTTAACTTGGCTCCTCAATTGTTCTTTCTCA